GCAATCTTTTCGGTGATATCACGTGAAGTATTGATCGTTAGAAACATTGTTAATATATCATGTGTTAACTCCTGATTTTCGGGAGTTCTTTCAATCTCTTCTCTTCTCTCTTTGATAATACCACGAACATTATTCCTCAACCAGTTTAACCTTTCCTTCAAGTCACGTGTGAAGCTTCTAAGTCCTGGAAACTCTCTTAGATACTTTGGAAGCATTAGAAAGTATATAAGGCTTGTAACAAAGGCATTAATACCCAGTATGAAAGTGTCGCTTTCCTTTAGATTATTTTCAGACACATGCACCTTTTTATCCGGTGACACACTATTATAATAGCTAGCCAATGAATATGCGGGTTTACTTGTGGCAATAAGAAATATAGTATCTAAAAAAAATCTTTTGGTCCAGAAGGGAAAGTCCAATATGAAATCCTCCCCGAGCTGTTCCCAGTAATTATCCATCTCATTAAACACTTCCTGAATGCTATCGGTGGCTTGAATAATAAAAGACGGCTTAAGTATTGATCTCGAATAAAACCTTCGATAGAATTCCCAGCTTTTATAGTTTAAATTAAAAATAACTCCAGAGTTCAACAATTCAACTTCTTTAAGGCCCTCGTTATCTGGAGCCGTTAATTCATGAAAGTTACTGTGCGACGATGAATCCACTATTTTGTGAATCAAATCTTCTCCACAAAGCCATACTATTCTTCGGGGACCTACATAAGTTTCATAAAAATCTCCATATATTTTTTGAAGTCGATTTGGCCATTCCCCAATATCTTCACGTAGTAGAAAAATATTACCGACTAAAGGAAGTGGTATTGGGCCAGGGAGGGGATTTTCGCGAGTAAAGTATTTAAAATAAAAATGAGAAATGTAGATAATGATCAAAATTCCAATGATTGATACGAGGTCGTTATAAACGTGCAACATTTTTCTTATTAAACTGTTTAAATCAATACGGTACGATTGGAATTTTGAAATCAAATTCAAGTTATATTTTTCTTTTTAACTGCACCAGCTACTTTTCTATAACCACTGGGGTACTAGTTCCTTATATACCTTAATTCACTCAAATAATTATTGATCTAGAGCAACGTCTCCATGTATGAAAACAAAGTTGATCCTATGTGCGAATATGCATATTTGAAGTACAATAAACTGCATTTTACTCGAGGCATTCCAAAACAATTAAATATTATACTATAAGAGGAAGCCAATAGAGAAAATAGATTTATTAATAAGGAAAATTTATAGAATTTAATAATTCCTTATCTGTCAACTGTAGTGATTTTCTGGATCCACTGTATTTCTGTACCAGAGCACGGGTATTGCCTTATGATATGATCAGTACAGTGCAAAATCTAATTCATCGAATAAAGTTTTTACGTGTTTTTTGACATCTAACTAGTTAATATTATAAATGTTAGTCAATGATAAATTAAATTGGAATGTTGTTTCCGCAACTCGCAATATACAGATTATCTTTTTTTTGTTAAATACAGTGTAATTTCGTAAAGTATGCATGTCTGTCTATAATACATACTGTAAATTCTTTTGAAATAAGAAAAATGAGAACTTACGAATAAACTTAACGTGAATTTCATATATCATATTTATGTTAAATTTTTATCTTAACATATAGTCTTTCGATAATGATATAATCATCAATCGTTTTCATATAAACCTCTTTTTTTAAAAAAATAAATAAATAAAATAAAATACAATTTGACGTTCTGTTTTTGAACAATACAATTCAATATTTTGTAAGTAGCAAGATGCTTCGGAATAGCAGACAGATAGATGATTTAGAACAAAAACTGAGATGTAAAATTTAGGAATTACCCCATCACAAAAAATGTCACTTGATGAAGAGTCCAGTTAATTGACATAAAAGGAATGGCACGGTCTTATTACAGATAACCTTGATCAGTTTGTTTCCACAATTGAAAGTGTAAAGACTGTGTACTGTATTTCTGATGTTGAACGAGCAATTTACTGTAAATAAAAAGCGCTATGTTTAGTCAAGTCAAAATTGTATTAGGAATACTCTCCGTCAGCGATTATTTTCCTACTGAAAAAACTAGTATAGTATTAATTAAACTTACAAATATTTCTAATTCCTACTACAACACAATAAGAATGCTTTTCATAAATGATAATGCGTACCTATTTCTAGAAATTTATGTAGTCTGAATATATGCTAACACGATCGCATTATTTTCATGAAAATTTATCATCTAACTTGTTATTTTTTGATCATACATTAGGTACCGTATCTCCACGCTATCTATACGTTATTATTGTTGGGCGTAATTGACTAGTCTGTCGTTATGTCGCGATCGTCAATCGTACTAGCGCGAGGCAAGTGAGTGTATGTA